GAAGAATGGGAGAAACTCCCCAAATACAGCTGTGCCAAGTGTCATACCCAAGAAGACTCGAGGCTGTAATTGCTGCCAAAGGTTCTTCAAAAAAGTACTGAGTAAATTGTCTGAATACTTATCTAAATGTGATATTTCTAAAAACATGTTTTTGCTTTGTCATTATGGGTTATTGTGTGTAGATTGATTATATAAAAAAAATAATATCAATTTTAGAATAAGACTGTAACGTGGAAAAAGTCAAGGGGTCTGAATACTTTCCGAATGCACTGTATGTCTTTTCATCTTTCCCTGCAATAGGGTGATTCCCCAAACTGTAGATTTCGAGGAGGCTGTTTTGCCAACTGTGCTTTGAAGAAGACAGAACCAGGGAGCCGTCTCTCTCTCTCTCTCTCTCTCTCGCTCGCTCTCTCCTCCCTCCCTCCCTGTTGTTAAATCTGCCCTTTGAAAACAGGGCTTTGCGAAGCTTTGCATCTCTTGATTGGCCCAGCAAGATTAAAGTCACTCAGATAAAGATGGTCCCGAAAGGCTTTCAGCAAGAAACAAAGGAAATATGCTTTCTATGCTGTATGAGGTGTGCGAATGTTCCTCTCCCAACTCAACATGTACTATTGATGTGAGCGAGCTGATAGTGCTATATACTGTAAAGCATTTCACTGCACCTTTTATACCTGCTGGAAACTGTGTACGTGACAAAGACCATTAGATTTTTTTAGTATAGTCTAGGCACTTAAAAGGCTTTCAAAACAGACAGTTGAAAATGAATCTAAAACTGCAGTCGTTGAGCAAATTTAAAACCACAAATAACAAACGAACACCCTAGTATCTACTGTGAGAAGGACTTACCCTCCGGAATATTTATACACCTTTTGAACTGCAGAGGAGTGATCATTCCTAAAGTGAATATTTGGTGTGTCACATTTTAACAAACACAAACTACTTGCTCAGTATGTTACATGCATGTTACACACACACAGCCTCTTATGCATGGTAGGAGGTGGCTAATGTTATTCGCTCTCTGCTTTGTGTTCCAGGCCTATTCAGTCTATGATGAGGAGATTGGCTACTGTCAGGGACAGTCCTTCCTGGCTGCAGTGCTGCTACTGCATGTAAGTGGGGCTCAAACCTCAATACAACGTCTACACAGCGTCTATGGAACCCATAGAGAGATGTTGAGAATGAAGTCTGCACTGTTGTGACAGACAATTTAATTAAATAATAAAAAGGCATTACATTGGCTCTGGAGAAACTATTGCAGAGCGCAGAGTTTACACTTATCCAAAGTGCACTTATTAAGATTCAGTTGTATTGGGACTGATAGTGAGAACAATGGAGAGAGGAGAGAGAAAGAAGGAAAGTTCAGGTGGAACAGAGGGAGGAGAGTGCAGCAGGAACGGAGTGAATAAGTGAACAACAGGACAGTAAATCTGAGAGGAGGTGGGAGGTAGGAAGGAGGGAGAGCGGATGAGTGATATATCGAGATGGAAGGAGAAGTATGGAAGGGAAAAGTGCAGAGGGATAGAGTGAGGATGAGTGGAGCAGTATTAAAAGAGAGATGGAGGGAGAAGTGGAGAGAGGGTGGGAGGGAGAGTGAGAGGATGGAGGGAGAATAGATGGAGGAGAGGGTGGAGGAGAAGTGGAGAGAGGAGTGGGAGGAGAGAGATGGGAGGATGAAGATGGAGAGAGAGATGGGAGGGAAAGTGGAGAGAGGTGGGGAGAGAAGTGGAGAGAGGAGGGAGGGAGAAGTGGAGAGAGGATGGAGGAGAGATGTGGAGAGAGGATGGAGGGAGAAGTGGAGAGAGGATGGGGGAGAAGTGGAGAGAGGATGGAGGAGAAGTGGAGGAGAGGGGAGGAAGTGGAGGAGAGGATGGAGGGATGAAGTGGAGCGGGGATGGAGGGAGAAGTGGGGAGCAGGGGAGTGGAGGGAGGAGGATGGAGGATGAGGGAGGAGATGGGAGGAGATGAAAAGGTGAGCAAGGTGTGAAAGAGAGAACGAGGGATGGAAGGAGGAGTAGAGTGATAGAAGAGAAGGGGGAGAGAGAGGGGGAGAAGTGGAAGAGAGGTGTCCAGAATATTAATGGCCCATTCAGCCCAGGACACACACATGGTCTATCTGATTAAATATCTACCACTCTCTCTGCGTGTGGGTGGGTCTCTCTCTCGCTCTCTCTCACTGTCACTCACACTCACACGCACTGTTTGTGTATTAAAGGGGGGGGGGGGGCAATACTCACCCCCTTTATCTTTCACACTGACACTCCCACCTTCTGGTTTTCTTTCAAACACTCACCAGATTCTCACCTTGTTTCTCACTCCCTCACACACTTCATCCTCCTTTCTCTTTTAGTCCCTCTCTCACTTTTCCCTCTGCTCCAACTGTCTCCTAACTCTTCTTCATGGGTCTAAGAAAACCTCCCTCTCAATCCACATAAAACAACACTTTCAAGTGACAAGAGACTCCACCAATCATTCCTCCTACTCCTGTTTATGGCAGTGTATTGTTTATTAAGAAAAGCCTTAGAGCTGAAATGTTGACATTATATACAGTGGGGGAAAAAAAGTATTTAGTCAGCCACCAATTGTGCAAGTTCTCCCACTTAAAAAGATGAGAGGCCTGTAATTTTCATCATAGGTACACGTCAACTATGACAGACAAAATGAGAACAAAATATCCAGAAAATCACATTGTAGGATTTTTAATGAATTTATTTGCAAATTATGGTGGAAAATAAGTATTTGGTCAATAACAAAAGTTTCTCAATACTTTGTTATATACCCTTTGTTGGCAATGACACAGGTCAAACGTTTTCTGTAAGTCTTCACAAGGTTTTCACACACTGTTGCTGGTATTTTGGCCCATTCCTCCATGCAGATCTCCTCTAGAGCAGTGATGTTTTGGGGCTGTCGCTGGGCAACACGGACTTTCAACTTCCTCCAAAGATTTTCTATGGGGTTGAGATCTGGAGACTGGCTAGGCCACTCCAGGACCTTGAAATGCTTCTTACGAAGCCACGCCTTCGTTGCCCGGGCGGTGTGTTTGGGATCATTGTCATGCTGAAAGACCCAGCCACGTTTCATCTTCAATGCCCTTGCTGATGGAAGGAGGTTTTCACTCAAAATCTCACGATACATGGCCCCATTCATTCTTTCCTTTACACGGATCAGTCGTCCTGGTCCCTTTGCAGAAAAACAGCCCCAAAGCATGATGTTTCCACCCCCATGCTTCACAGTAGGTATGGTGTTCTTTGGATGCAACTCAGCATTCTTTGTCCTCCAAACACGACGAGTTTAGTTTTTACCAAAAAGTTCTATTTTGGTTTCATCTGACCATATGACATTCTCCCAATCCTCTTCTGGATCATCCAAATGCACTCTAGCAAACTTCAGACGGGCCTGGACATGTACTGGCTTAAGCAGGGGGACACGTCTGGCACTGCAGGATTTGAGTCCCTGGCGGCGTAGTGTGTTACTGATGGTAGGCTTTGTTACTTTGGTCCCAGCTCTCTGCAGGTCATTCACTAGGTCCCCCCGTGTGGTTCTGGGATATTTGCTCACCGTTCTTGTGATCATTTTGACCCCACGGGGTGAGATCTTGCGTGGAGCCCCAGATCGAGGGAGATTATCAGTGGTCTTGTATGTCTTCCATTTCCTAATAATTGCTCCCACAGTTGATTTCTTCAAACCAAGCTGCTTACCTATTGCAGAATCAGTCTTCCCAGCCTGGTGCAGGTCTACAATTTTGTTTCTGGTGTCCTTTGACAGCTCTTTGGTCTTGGCCATAGTGGAGTTTGGAGTGTGACTGTTTGAGGTTGTGGACAGGTGTCTTTTATACTATTAACAAGTTCAAACAGGTGCCATTAATACAGGTAACGAGTGGAGGACAGAGGAGCCTCTTAAAGAAGAAGTTACAGGTCTGTGAGAGCAAGAAATCTTGCTTGTTTGTAGGTGACCAAATACTTATTTTCCAGCATAATTTGCAAATAAATTCATTAAAAATCCTACAATGTGATTTTCTGGAAAATTGTTTCTTCAATTTGTCTGTCATAGTTCACGTGTACCTATGATGAAAATTACAGGCCTCTCTCTCTATTTATATACAGTGGGGGAAAAAAGTATTTAGTCAGCCACCAATTGTGTAAGTTCTCCCACTTAAAAAGATGAGAGAGGACTGTAACTTCTTCTTTAAGAGGCTCCTCTGGGCCATGTATCGTGAGATTTTGAGTGAAAATGATCCCAAACACACCGCCCGGGCAACGAAGGACTGGCTTCGTAAGAAGCATTTCAAGGTCCTGGAGTGGCCTAGCCAGTCTCCAGATCTCAACCCCATAGAAAATCTTTGGAGGGAGTTGAAAGTCCGTGTTGCCCAGCGACAGCCCCAAAACATCACTGCTCTAGAGGAGATCTGCATGGAGGAATGGGCCAAAATACCAGCAACAGTGTGTGAAAACCTTGTGAAGACTTACAGAAAACGTTTGACCTGTGTCATTGCCAACAAAGGGTATATAACAAAGTATTGAGAAACTTTTGTTATTGACCAAATACTTATTTTCCACCATAATTTGCAAATAAATTCATAAAAAATCCTACAATGTGATTTTCTGGATTTTTTTCCCTCATTTTGTCTGTCATAGTTGACGTGTACCTATGATGAAAATTACAGGCCTCTCTCATCTTTTTAAGTGGGAGAACTTGCACAATTGGTGGCTGACTAAATACTTTTTTTCCCCACTGTGTGTGTGTATATATATATATATATATATATATATATGTGTATATATATATATATATATATATATATATATATATATATATATATATATATATATATATATATATATATATATATATATATATCGATCTCATAAAAATCGAACAAGTCAAAGGATAAAATGAAACAATTGTCGCTTCACCTCCCATATCTCAGACCTCTCCTTCTCTCATTTCTCCGTTGGTATATTCTAGCTAACCCCCACTGGTTTTGTTTCGTCCTGTGGATGTAGATGCCTGAGGAGCAGGCGTTCTGTGTGCTGGGGAGGATTATGTATGAGTACGGCCTGAGGGAACTCTACAAGAACAACTTTGAGGATCTGCACTGCAAGTTCTACCAGCTGGAACGACTGCTCCAGGTTAGTCCGCCCGCATCTCTAAAGCCCTCTGAAAAACGTCAAACCTAACAAAATGTCACATAATGATTGTGGTCATGAGACTGGATGGTTGTGTTTGTGTGTGTTCTTGCATGCGTGTGTATGTGCACACACATGTATCTGCAGACACTTACCCATGCTCTATGCACCTTAACGTTGGAATCCGCAGTAGGGGTAAACGGCGCCACTGTCCGCCCCACGGACATTATTGTTTTTGTTTTGTTGATGAAGCAGAGGCAGGGAGCGCTGGGAATGCGTTGCGCATCGGATGTAGCAGTTTCACCATTAAGGATTCCAGCTTGAAGAGTGCTGACTGACTCTATTCTTGTTAGGGCTAGCCTTAGGTTCGTTATTAGGCTAAATCCACTCCAAATTGGAGTTTAATTTTGTACGGAAATCCATTTTAGCCTCCACTAAGTAGGTTTTTTTCAGCACTGTATTGACAAGCTCCCCAAGGCTAAGGAGTATTAGCGTTAATCGCTAAGGGTTGGCATACAGGTGGAATCAAGCCAGTTTCTCTTTCTCTTCTCTCTCCAGCTCTCTCTCCTTCACTCACTCCCTCTCTCTGACGGTGCTTTCTGAGCTGTGATGATGATCGCTTGCTTGACTGATTGATTGACTGACTGACTTGACTGATTTACACTATTAGTCTGTCAATCAATGTATTGGTATATACAGTGCCTTCTGAAAATATTCAGACCCCTTGACTTTTTCCACATTTTGTTACGTTACAGCCTTATTCTAAAATTGATTAGAAAATAAGTACATATCAGCAATCTACACACAATACCCCATAATGACAAAGCAAAAACGTTTTTTTTAGACAGTTTAGCACATTCAAAATAAAAAACTGAAATACGTAGGTATTCAGACCCTTTGCTATGAAACTCGAAATTGAGCTTGTGCATCCTGTTTCCATTGATCATCCTTGAGATGTTTCTACAACTTGATTGGAGTCCACCTGTGGTAAATTCAATTGATTGGACATGATTTGATTTGTCTATATAAGGTCCAACAGTTGACAGTGCATGTCAGAGCAAAAACCAAGCCATGAGGTCGAAGGAATTGTCTGTAGAGCTCCGAGACAGGATTGTGTCGAGGCACAGGTCTGGGGAAGGGTACCAAAAAAAATCTGCAGCATTGAAGGCCCCAAGAACACAGTGGCCTCCATCATTCTTAAATGGAAGAAGTTTGGAACCACCAAGACTCTTCCTAGAGCTGGCCGCCTGGCCAAACTGAGCAATCGGGGGAGAAGGGCCTTGGTCAGGGAGGTGACCAAGAACCCGATGGTCACTCTGACAGAGCTCCAGAGTTCCTCTGTGGAGATGAGAGAACCTTCCAGAAGGACAACCATCTCTGCAGCACTCCACCAATCAAGCCCGCTTGGAGTTTGCCAAAAGGCACCTAAAGACTCTCAGACCATGAGAAACAAGATTCTCTGGCCTGATGCAAGCAAGATTGAACTCTTTGGACTGAATGTCAAGCGTCACGTTTGGAGGAATCCTGGCACCATCCCTACGGTGAAGCATGGTGGTAGCAGCATCATGCTGTGGGGATGTTTTTCAGTGGTAGGGACTGGGAGACTAGTCAGGATCGAGGAAAAGATGAACGGAGCATAGTACAGAGAGATCCTTGATGAAAACCTGCTCCAGAGCGCTCAGGACCTCAGCGCTCAGGACAACAACCCTAAGCACACAGCCAAGACAATGCAGGAGTGGCTTCGGGACAAGTTTCTGAATGTCCTTGAGTGGTCCAGCCAGAGCCCAGACTTGAACCTGATTGAACATCTCTGGAGAGACTTGAAAATAGCTGTGCAGCGATGCTCCCCATCCAACCTGACAGAGCTTGAGAGGAACTGCAGAGAAGAATGGGAGAAACTCCCCAAATACAGGTGTGCCAAGCTTGTAGCGTCATACCCAAGAAGACTCGATGCTGTAATCGCTGCCAAAGGTGCTTTAACAAAGTACTGAGTGAGGTCTGAGTACTTATGTTAATGTGATACTTTAGTTGTATATGTAAAAAAAAAAATCTAACATTTCTACAAACCTGTTTTTGCTTTGTCATTATGGGGTATTGTGTGTAGATTGATGAGTACTGTGAAATTAACTCCTCTTTCTTCTTACTGAGTGGTTTCCTCTCCTCTTATTTCCTATCTCCAGGAACAACTCCCAGAACTCTGGTCCCACTTCCAGGAGCTCAATCTGGAAGCTCACATGTATGCCTCTCAGTGGTTCCTCACGCTCTTCACAGCCAAGTTCCCCCTCTGCATGGTCTTCCACATCACTGACCTGCTGTTGTGTGAGGTAAGAAGTTAAGAAGCCCCACAATTGACCCAACACTAGTGTTAAGACTCATTTTAACACGACTCCTAATCCCAACACTGGTCCTTACCTTAGCCCTACTCCTTACCACAACACAGACCATTACCAACCTGCTATTGGTAAACTAAACTTAAAGGGATTCTTTGGGATTTTGGAGTAGGAGTAGGGCTTTATCTACTTCCCCAGAGTCAGATGAACTCGTGGATACCATTTTTATGTCTGGTTGCAGTTTGAAGGAAGTTGCTAACTAGCGCAATTGCTAACTAGCATTAGCGCAATGACTGGAAGTCTATGGCAGTGATTTTCAACTTGTGGGTCTTGCAGGAGGTTTTGAATGGGTCGCGGGTATAAAACAAAAAACTTTTTTTAATTACATTTTTTATACTCCAGTCTGAACTTAAATGACTTAAAGCAGGTAGAAAGTGTGTAGAAATGATAATGAACTTACATTTTTTAATAATTGAATCTAATAATTGAATCTCTAATATAGAGCCATTAGCAGCGCTATTTCTGGTTGATTTTGTGGTCTCAAACCAGTGAGTTTATTAGCATTCTACATCAAAATGTTATTATTGACAATGAAAGAGGTGGGAGTGTTGTTCCCTTGTCATGTAATTGCTACTTTTACTATCAATATAGCATAAAAAATAGTTTTCCAGATTGTATTTTGGTGTTTTTTTTCCACAATGTATAATATTGCGTCGTGACTGAGACAACCTGGTTCAAGTTGGGTCCCGAGGCAAAACCAGTTGAGAACTAATTGCAGCATTACCACAACAATAGAAGAGGAAAGTGGATAGGGGAAAAAGTAAGGAACTTGTCTGTCGGCCTTGCATTAAAACCATAATTGGTTAAAGAAAATTGTGATAAATAAAAAAGTGTTTCATTTCAGGACCAAAGGATTGACAGCCTTCCCATATAGATTGCAAAATAGTTGGGAAGAGATTTTTGACGTACCAATTCCATGGTAAAAAAAATAATTGTAAATGGTTTATGAACTGATACGCATAGCAACGCCGGATTCAAAACTTAGATTTTTTCAATTTAAATTATTATACAAAATTCTTGCTACCAATAGAATGTTATTTATATGGGGGATACAATCTTCCCAGCTCTGCAGATTTTGCTGCGAAGAGACAGAATCATTAGATCATTTGTTCTGGTACTGTACGTTTGTAGCTTGTTTTTGGTCACAGGTCCAGGAATGGCTTAAGGATTGCAATATTTACCTGGAGCTAACCCTGCAGATAGCACTACTGGGTGATCTGAAAAGTCATAGTCAATCGATCAATAATATAATAATACTTTTAGTAATGTTTACTTTCGATTTACAATCTGTAGAAACAATGAGAATAGAAGGGTTCAGTACTTTTGTGAAACATCACAGTACAGATTACGAAATATATGGCAAAAAGAAATCCAATATGGATGGTGTTAAGTCGGAAGTTTACATACACCTTAGCCAAATACATTTAAACTCAGTTTTTCACAATTCCTGACATTTAATCTTAGTAAAAATGTTGTCCCCATGTGCAATTGCAAACCATAGTCTGGCTTTTTTATGGTGGTTTTGGAGCAGTGGCTTCTTCCTTGCTGAGCGGCCTTTCAGGTTAGGTCGATATAGGACTCATTTTACTGTGGATATAGATACTTTTGAACCTGTTTCCTCCAGCATCTCCAAGGTCCTTTGCTGTTGTTCTGGGATTGATTTGCACTTTTCGCACTAAAGTACGTTCATCTCTAGGAGACCGAACGCGTCTCCTTCCTGAGCGGTATGACGGCTGCGTGGTCCCATGGTGTTTATACTTGCGTACTATTGTTTGTACAGATGAACGTGGTACCTTTAGGCGTTTGGAAATTGCTCCCATGGATGAACCAGACTTGTGGAGGTCTACAATTTTTTTTCTGAGGTCTTGGCTGATTTCTTTGGTTTTCCCATGATGTCAAGCAAAGAGGCACTGAGTTTGAAGGTAGGCCTTGAAATACATCCACAGGTACACCTCTCATTGACTCAAATGATGTCAATTAGCCTATCAGAAGCTTTTAAAGCCATGACATCATTTTCTGGAATTTTCCAAGCTGTTTAAAGGCACAGTCAACTTAGTGTATGTAAACTTCTGACCCACTGGAATTGTGAAACAGTGAATTATAAGTGAAATAATCTGTCTGTAAACAACTGTTTGAAAAATTACTTGTGTCATGCACAAAGTAGATGTCCTAACCGACTTGCCAAAACTATAGTTTGTTAACAAGAAATTTGTGGAGTGGTAGAAAAACGAGTTTTAATGACTCCAACCTAAGTGCATGTAAACTTCCGACTTCAACTGTAGATGGGAGGGGTTGAATGGAGCTGAAGGTTGGGACTAATAACTAATAACAACAAAATAACTATAAGTAAGTAAAACATACTGTGTCCATAATAAGTATATATGTTATAGGTTGAGAACTTTTGTGAAAGAGCACAGTTTGAAAGATATGGCATAGACAGAGGCTTGCGAAAGTATTCACCCCCCTTGGCAATTTTCCTATTTTGTTGCCTTACAACCTGGAATTAAAATGGATTTTTTGGGGGTTTGTATCATTTGATTTACACAACATGCCTACCACTATTCACCCCCCCCCCCCCCCCCTTTGCAGCAATTACAGCTGCAAGTTTCTTGGGGTATGTCTCTATAAGCTTGGCACATCAAGCCACTGGGATTTTTTCCCATTCTTCAAGGCAAAACTGCTCCAGCTCCTTCAAGTTTGGATGGGTTCCGCTGGTGTACTGCATTCTTTGAGTCATACCACAGATTCTCAATTGGATTGAGGTCTGGGCTTTGACTAGGCCATTCCAATACATTTAAATGTTTCCCTTTAAACCACTCGTGTTGATTTAGGTAATTGTCCTGCTGGAAGGTAAACCTTAGTCCCAGTCTCAAATCTCTGGAAGACTGAAACAAGTTTCTCTCAAGAATTTCCCTGTATTTAGCGCCATCCATCATTCCTTCACTTCTGACCAGTGTCCCAGTCCCTGCCGATGAAAAACATCCCCACAGCATGATGCTGCCACCACGTGCTTCACTGTGGGATGGTGTTCTCTGGGTGATGAGGTGTTGGGTTTGCGCCAGACATAGCATTTTCCTTGATGGCCAAAAAGCTCAATTTTAATCTCATCTGACCAGAGTACCTTCTTCCATATGTTTGGGGAGTCTCCCACATGCCTTTTGGCGAACACCAAACGTGTTTGCTTATTATTTTCTTTAAGCAATGGCCTTTTTCTGGCCACTCTTCTGTAAAGCCCAGCTCTGTGGAGTGTACGGCTTAAAGTGGTCCTATGGACAGAAACTCCAATCTCCGCTGTGGAGCTTTGCAGCTCCTTCAGGGGTCTCTTTGTTGCCTCTCTGATTAATGCCCTCCTTGCCTGGTCCGTGAGTTTTGGTGGGTGGCCCTCTCTTGGCAGGTTTGTTGTGGTGCCATATTCTTTCCATTTTTTAATAATGGATTTAATGGTGCTCCGTGGGATATTCAAAGTTTCTGATATTTTTTTATAACCCAACCCTGATCTGTACTTCTCCACAACTTTGTCCCTGACCTGTTTGGAGAGCTCCCTGGTCTTCATGGTGCCGCTAGCTTGGTGGTGCCCCTTGCTTAGTGGTGTGGTAGACTCTGGGGCCTTTCAGAAAAGGTGTATATATACTGAGATCATGTGACAGATCATGTGACACTTATTTAACTAATTATGTGACTTCTGAAGGTAATTGGTTGCACCAGATCTTATTTAGGGGCTTCATAGCAAAGGGGGTGAATACATATGCACGCACCACTTTTCCGTTATTAATTTTTTATAATTTTCTGAAACAAGTTATTTTTTTCATTTCACTTCACCAATTTGGACAATTTTGTGTAAGTCCATTACATGAAATCCAAATAAAAATCAATTTAAATTAGAGGTTGTAATGCAACAAAATAGGAAAAACGCCAAGGGGGATGAATACTTTTGGAAGGCACTGTAGAAGCAAACCGGTTGGACATCATGAAAATGATCGAAGAGGATGAGGGTAGAGGAAGTTCAGGAGTAAAAATAAACAAAATATAATTATTGTGAAATTGACTGTGTCCATAAAATGTATATAGTATGTATAAGTTGGAAGTAAAGGCCTAAGCGTTGTTGTTCACTAGTTTACTCCAATTAGGGGAGGTGTGGTGGGGTTGGAAAATATATTTTAAAAAAATGATGTTTATGTGTGTGTGTGTGTGTGTGTATGTATGTGTGTGTGTGTGTGTGTGTGTGTGTGTGTGTGTGTGTATATGTATATATGTGTGTGTGTGTGTGTGTGTGTATATGTGTATCACTGTCAACTGCGTTTATTTTCAGCAAACTTAACATGTGTAAATATTTGTATGAACATAACAAGATTCAACAATTGAGACATAAACTGAACAATTTCCACAGACATGTGACTAACAGAAATTGAATAATGTGTCCCTGAACAAAGGGGGGGGGGGGGGGGTCAAAATGAAAAGTAACAGTCAGTGTCTGGTGTGGCCACCAGCTGCATTAAGTACTGCAGTGCATCCCCTCCTCATGGACTGCACCATATTTGCCAGTTCTTGCTGTGAGATGTTACCCCACTCTTCCACCAAGGCACCTGCTAGTTCCCAGACATTTCTGGGGTGAATGGCCCCAGCCCTCACCCTCCGATCCAACAGGTCCCAGACGTGCTCAATGGGACTGAGATCCGGGCTCTTCGCTGGCCATGGCAGAACACTGACATTCCTGTCTTGCAGGAAATCACGCACAGAACGAGCGGTATGGTTGGTGGCATTGTCATGCTGGAGGGTTATGTAAGGATGAGCCTGCAGGAAGGGTACCACATGAGGGTGGAGGATGTCTTCCCTGTAATGCATAGCGTTGAGATTGCCTGCAATGACAACAAGCTCAGTCCGATGATGCTGTGACACACCGCCCCAGTCCATGACGGACCCTCCACCTCCAAATCGATCCCGCTCCAGAGTACAGGCCTCGGTGTAACGCTCATTCCTTCGACAATAAACGCGAATCCGACTATCACCTCTGGTGAGACAAAACCGCAACTCATCAGTGAAGAGCACTTTTTGCCAGTCCTGTCTGGACCAGTGATGGTGGGTTTGTGCCAATAGGCGACGTTGTTGCCGGTGATGTCTGGTGTACCGATCCTGTGCAGGTGTTGTTACACGTAGTGTGCCACTGCGAGGACGATCAGCTCTCCGTCCTGTCTCCCTGTAGTGCTTTCTTAGGCGTCTCACGGTATGGACATTGCAATTTATTGCCCTGGCCACATCTGCAGTCCTCATGCCTCCTTGCAGCATGCCTAAGGCACGTTCACGCAGATGAGCAGGGACCCTGGGCATCTTTCTTTTGGTGTTTTTCAGAGTCAGTAGAAAGGCCTCTTTAGTGTCATACGTTTTCATAACTGTGACCTTAATTGCCTACCGTCTGTAAGCTTGCATGTTCATTAATTGTTTGTGGTTCATTGAACAAGCATGGGAAACAGTGTTTAAACCCTTTACAATTAAAATCTGTGAAGTTATTTGGATTTTTACGAATTATCTTTGAAAGAGGGACATTTGTTTTTATATGAATGCGGGAAAAAAACATATGGGGGATTGGAAGTGATGCAGACAATTACATTGATGGAAGTTACAGTTTATCTGCAATATTAAAGCTGATCTACCCCCAAAAAAAACAAAAAAAACTGTTGAGAACCGCTGGTCTATGGGTAACTGCTAGCACACAGTTATTGTGCTAGCACTAGTTAGCAATGGCTTGCGAAACTACCTCTAACTTCCTTCTTACTGTACACAGAGACACAAAAATGCTATCCACAAGTTCATCTGACTATGCCAAAATCTCTATATGACTCTGGACTAACACAGTGAAACCTCTCCAGTATTCACACACATATCTACCTCTTCAAAGCTATAATGACCCTGAGAAGTGAGAACACACCGTTCTAGCATGATGAACCCATCAAATCCTCAAAGCCCCTTCAAGCCCTAAAGCACAGTAGCATAGCCCCACCTGCTCCTCTTCCCAGTTCCCTTCAGACCTGGTACCCCAGGAGAGAGTCATTGTATGCGTCCCAAATGGCACCCTATTCCCTATATAGTGCACTACTTTTGACCAGAACCCTTTGGGCCTTGGTGAAAAGTAGTGTACTATTAAGGGAATATGGTGACATTTGGGACTCAGCCACGGTGGCCTTTCTCGCTCCTTTTCTCTGTGTGATTCTCTCTCCTCCTCTCTCCTTTTATCCCTCTCTCCCTCCCTCCCTCCCTCTTTCGGCCCCCGGGCGCGTTTCTCAGCCAATGAGCCGCGTGATGAGAATCTGCTCCTCTACTCCGTACCTCCCTTTTTAAAATCTCTCCCTCTCTATACCTCTTTCTTTCTCTCTTTTCTCGTGAGAGGTCACTTTCTTATTGTTGTTTGCTTTACCCATGCCTCAATTTGATTTATTTTTTTGTAATTCTGTCACTTTTCTCTCCTTTTTCTCTCTTCTCTATGAAATTGCTTTACCTCTCCCTTCCCGTTTCATCTGTTGTGCTCCTGTTGTCGTCCTTTTCTTTTCTCCACACCTCTCTCTGTCTCTCTCTCTGTCTCTCTCTGTCTCTCTCTGTTCTCGTCGGTCTCTCTCTCGTTTTTGTGTCTCTGCTTCTCTCGCCTCAATCAACCACTTTTCTCGTTTTCTTTTCTCTCTTCTTTGGTCTCTCTCTCGTCTCTCTTCTTCTCTCCTGTCTCTCGTCCTGTTTCTCTCCACACTCTCTTGTCTCTTCTTCTCTCTCTCGCTCTCTCTCTCTCTCTCTGCTATGTCTCGCTCTCTTTCGCTCTGTTTCTCTCTGTCTCTTCCTCGCTGTCCTCTGTCTCCTCTGTCTCTTCGCTCATTCTGCTCTCTTTCCTTCTTTTCGCTCTCTTTTCGCTCTGTCTCTCTCCGTCTCTGTCTCTCTCTCTTCTCTCTGTCCTTCGCTCTCTCTCTTCTCTGTCTCCTTTGTCTCTCTTCTCTTGTATTCTGTCGCTCCTCTGTGGTCTCTGGTTTCTCACGGTCTCTCACGGCTCTTTCTGCTCCTCTTTACTCTGTTCTCTTCTGTTACTCTGTCTCTCTCTCTGTCTATCTCTGTCTCTCTCTCCTGTCTACCCTCTGTCTATCTCTGTCTCTCTCTCTGTCTCGCTCTCTGTCCCTCTCTGTCTCGCTCTCTGTCTCCTCCTTGTCTCCTCTGTCTCTCTCGCGTCTTCTGTCTCTCTGTCTCGCTTGTCTCGCTCTTCTCTCTCTGTTCATCTGTCCCTCTGTTCGCTCTGTTCTCTCTTCTCGCTCTGTCTCTCTGTCCTCTCTCTGTCTTCTCTGTCCTCTCTGTTATTCTCTGTCTCGCTGTATCTGTTTCTCTCTCTGTCTATCTGTCTCTCTCTGTCTCGCTCTGTCTCCTCTGTCTCTCTCTTTTCTCTCTCGCTTTTGTCTCTCTCTGTCTCTCTCTCGCTCTCTGTCTCTCTCCTCTCTCTCGCTCTCCTGTCTCTGCTCTCTGTCTCTCTTTTGTCTCGCTCGCCCCTCTTTTTCTCTCCCCTGTCTCTCTCCTCTGTCTCTTTTCTCTCTCTTCGTCTCTCTCTCTGTTCCCCTTCTCTCCTCTCTCTCTCATCTCTATCTCTCTCTCTGTCTCTCTGTTTTCTCCTTTCTCTCTCCTGTTTCGCTCTCTGTGTCTCTATCTCTGTCTCTCTCTCTGGTCTCGCTCTCTGTCTCTCTCTTGTCTTCTCTCTCTGTCTCGCTCTCTGTTTTCTCTTCTGTTTCTCCTCTCTGTCTCTCTCTGTCTCTCGGTCTCTCCTGTCTCCGTCTCTCTCGTCTCTCTCTGTCTCTCCTCTTCGCTCTCTGTTCTCTGCGTCTCTGTCTCTCTCTCTGTCTATTCTCTGTCTTTTGTCTCTCTCGCTTGTCTCTCTCTGTCTTGTCTCTCTCTGTCTCTGTCTTCTCTGTCTCTCTCTCTTCTATCTACTGTCTCTCTCTCTGTCTATCATCTGTTTTCTCTCTCTGTCTTCTCTTTTCTCCTCTCCTGTCTCGCTCTCTCTCGTCTCTCTCTCTGTCTCTCCCCTCTCTCTCTGTCCTCTCTCTTCGTCTCTCTCTGTCTCTCTCTGTCTATCTCGTCTCTCTCTGTCTCTCTGATCTCTCTCTGTCTCTCTCTCTCCTCTGTCTCTCTCTGTCTCCTCTCTGTGCTACTCTGTCGCTCTCTGTCTCTCTCCTCTGCTTCTGTCTCTCTCTCTGTCTCTCTCTGTCTCCTCTCTCTCTCTGCTCTCTGTCTCTCTCGTCTCTCTCTTCTCTCTCTCTGTCTCTCTCCTCTCTCTCTCTCTCTCTGTTTTCGCTCACTGTCTCGCTCTCTGTTTCGTCGCTCTGTCTCTCTCGTCTCGCTCTGCTTTTTCGTCTCTGTCTCTCTTGTCTCTCTCTCTGTCTCTCTCTTCTGTCTCTTTTGTCTCCCCGCTCTCTGTTTCTTCTTCTCTCTGTCTCCTTCTGTCTCTCTCTGGTCTCTCTCCTGTCTCTCTCTCCGTCTCTTTTCCCCTCTGTCATCTTCTCGCTTCTCTCCTCTGTCTCTCTCTCTGTCTATGTCTCTCTCTCTGCTCTATCTCTGTTCTCTCTGTCTGTCTCTCTCTGTCTCTCTTCTCTCTGTCTCTTCTTTCTCTCCTCTCTGTCTCTTCTGTCTCTCTCTATTCTTCTCTGTCTCGCTCTCTGTTTCTCTCTGTCTCTCTCTCTGTTCTCTCTGTCTCTTTGTCTCTCTCTGTCTCGCTCTCTGTCTCTCTCTCCTGTTTCACTCTCTGTTCTCTCTTGCTGTCTCGCTCTCTGTCTCGCTCTCTCTCTTCTCTCACTGTCTCGCTCTCGTTTCGCTCTGTCTCTCCCCCTCGCTCTCTGTCTCGCTCTCTGTCTCTATGTCGCTCTCTGCCCGCTCTCTTGCCCTCGCTCTCTTGTCTCCGCTCTCTGTCTCTTTCTGTCTCTCTGTCTCTCTCCCCTGTCTCTGTCTCTCGCTCTCTGTCTCGCTCTCTGTCTCGCTTTTCTGTCTCGCTCTCTGTCCCCTCTTCTGTCTCTGTCTCTCTCTGTCTCTCTGTCTCTCTGTCTCGCTCTCTGTCTCTTCCTTTTGCTCTCTGTCTCTGCTCTGTCCTCTGTCTTTTCTCTCGTCTCTGTCTCTCTCTCTGTCTCTGTCTCTCTCTGTCTCTGTCTTCTTCTCTGTCTTTTGTTCTCTCCTCTCTCTGGTCTGTCTCTGTCTCTCTGTCTCCTGTCCTCTCGCTCTCTGTCTCGGTCTCTTCTGTCTCTCGCTCTGTCTCTCGCTCTGTCTTCTCGCTTTTGTCCCCTCTCTCTGTCTCTCTCTCTGTCTCTCTCTCTCGTCTCGTCTTCGCTCTCTGTTTCGCTCTCTGTTTTCTCCCCTGTCTCTCTCTCTCTCTCTCTGTCTCTCTTCTCTCTGTCTTCTCTGTCTCGTCTCTGTCTCTTCTCTGTCTCTCTGTTCTCTCTGTCTTTTGTTCTCTCTCCCCTGTCTCTCTCGCTCTTGTCTCTCTCTCTGTCTCTTTCTCTCTCTGTCTCTCCTCTGTCCCCTGTCTCTCTCTGTCTGTCTCTGTCTCTTCTCTGTCTCTCTGTCTCTCTCCCTCTGTCTCTCGTCTCCTCTGTCTCTCTCTGTCTTCTGCTCTCTGTCTCTGCTCTCTGTCTCGCTCTCTCTTTGGTCTCTCTCCTCTGTCTCTCGTTCTCGCTGCCTCTCGCCTCTGTCTCTCTCCTCTCTTCTCTCTGTCTCTCTCTCTGTCTCTCTCTGCCCTCTCTGCTCGTCTCCTCTGTCTCCTACTCTCGTCTCTCCTCTAGTCTCTCTTCCTGTCTTCTCTCTCTCTCTCTGTCTCCCCTCTGTCTTTCTGTCTCTCTCTGGTCTCTCTCTCTGTCTGTCTCTTCCTCCTCTCGTCTCTGTCTCTCTCTTGTCTCCTCTGTCTCTTCTCCTCTCTGTTCTCCCTCTGTCTTCTGTCTCTCTCTCTGTGTCCTCTTCTGTTCCTCTCCTCTCTTTTTCTCTTCCTCGCTTCTCTGTCTCTCTCTCTCTGTCCTCTCTGCTCTCTCGTCTGCTCTCTGTCTCTGTTGTCTCTCTTCCTACTCTGTCTCTCTCTCTGTCTCTCTCTCTGCTTTTCTCTTTTTCCCTCTCTGTCTCTCTCTCTGTCTCTGCTTTTGTCTCTCTCTGTCTCGCTCTCTGTCTCTCTCCTGTCTATCGTCTTTTCTCTCTCTCTCTGGTTCTTTCTCTCTCTTTGTCTTGTTCTCTCTGCCTATCTCTGTCTCTCTCTCTGTTCTCGTCTCTGTTCTCTTGTCTGTCTCTCTGTCTCTCACTCTCGCCTCCTCTCTGCTCTCTCTCGTCTCTCTCTCCTCTCCTGTCTTCTCGCTCTGTCTCTCTCTCGGTCTCTCTCTCTCCCTCTTTGTCTCTTCTCTGTCTCGCTCTCTGTCTTTTTCTCCCCCTGTCTCTCTCTTCTGTTTCCTCTCTGTCTCTCTCTGTCCTCGCTCTCTGTTCGCTCTCTCTCTCTCTCTGTCTCTCTTTTCATCTTGTCGCTCTTGTCTCCTCTCTCGTCTCTGTCCCTCTCTCTCTCTGTCTCTCTGTTCGCTTCTCTGTCCGCTCTCTGTCTCGCTCTCTGTCCCCTCGCTCTCTGTCTCTCTCTGTCTCTTTGCCCCTCTTTCTGCTCTCTGTCTCGCTTTTCTGTCTCGCTCTCTGTCTCGTCTCTGTCTCTTCTCTGTCTCTGTCTCTCTCTCTGTCTCGCTCTGTCTCGCCTCTGCCTCGTCTCTGTCTCGCTCTCTGTCGCTCTGTCGTCCTCTGTCTCGCTCTCTGTCTCGCTCTCTGTCTGTCTCTCGCTCTCTGTCTTCGCCTCCTCTGTCCTCGCTCTCATGTCTCGCTCTCTGTCTCGCTCTCTGTTCCTCGCTCTCTGTCTCGCTCTCTGTCTCGCTCCTGTCTCGCGCCTCGGTTTCGCGCTCTCTGGTCTCGCTCTCCTGTCTCGCTCTCTGTCTCAATCTCTGTCTCCCCTCTCCGTCTCACCGGTCTCTCGCTCTCAGTTTCGCTCTCTGTCCTCCTCCTCTCTCGCTCTCTGCTCTCCTGTCCTCTCTCTCTGTCTCTCTCTGTCTCGCTCCTCTGTCTCGCTCTGTCTCTCGCTCTCTGTCGTCCTCAACTCTCCTCTGTCTCGCTCCTCGCCCGAGGTATGTATAGTTTTTTTGTGTGCTCTAGGGCAACGGTGTCTACATGGAATTTGTATTTTGTGGTCCTGGCAACTGGACCTTTTTTGGAACACCATTATTTATGTCTTACTGAGATTTTCTGTCAGGGCCCAGGTCTGACAGAATCTGTGCAGAAGATCTAGGTGCTGCTATAGGCCATCCTTGGTTGGGGACAGAAGCACCAGATCATTAGCAAACAGTAGACATTTGACTTTAGTTTCTAGTAAGGTGAGGCCGGGTGCTGCAGACTGTTCTAGTGCCCTATATGTTGAAGAGGGTGGGGCTTTAAACTGCATCCCTGTCTCACCCCACGGCCCTGTGGAAAGAAAGTGTTTTTTTTTGACAATTTTAACCGCACACTTGTTGTTTGTGTACATGGATTTTATAATGTCGTATATGTTTTCCCCCCAACCCCACATTCCATCAATTTCTATAGCAGACCTTCATGCCAAATTGAGAGAAAGCATAAGAAAGACTTTGCCTTTGTTTTGTTTTTTTGTTTGTCAATTAGGGTGTGCAGAGTGAATACGTGGTTTGTCATACGGTAATTTGGTAAAAAGCCCATTTGACATTTGCTCAGTACATTGTTTTCACTGAGGAAATGAACTAGTCTGCTGTTAATGATAATGCAGAGGATTTTCCCAAGGTTGCTGTTGACGCATATCCTACGGTAGTTATTGGTGTCAAATTTGTCTCCACTTTTGTGGATTGGGGTGATCAGTCCTTGGTTCCAAATATTGGGGATGATGCCAGAGCTAAGAGATTATGTTAAAGAGTTTAAGTATAGCCAATTGGAATTTGTGGTCTGTATATTTTATCATTTCATTGAGGATACCATCAACACCACAGGCCTTTTTGGGTTGGAGGGTTTGTATTTTGTCCTGTAGTTCATTCAATGTAATTGGAGAATCCAGTGGGTTCTGGTAGTCTTTAATAGTTGATTCTAAGATTTGCATTTGATATTGTATATGGTTTTGCTATTTGTTCTTTGTTAGTGGGTTACCCATACATCTCCATTTTGGATAGATAGCTCTTCGTGTTGTTGTTTGTTTAGTGTTTTCCAATTTTCCCAGAAGTGGTTAGAGTCTATGGATTCTTCAGTTACATTGAGCTGATTTCTGACATGCTGTTCCTTCTTTTTCCATAGTGTATTTCTGTATTGTTTTAGTGATTCACCATAGTGAAGGCGTAGGCACAGGTTTTATGTGAGGGTCTCTGTTTTTGGTTGGATAGGTTTCTCAATTTCTTTCTTAGGTTTTTGCATTCTTCATCAAACCATTTGTCATTGTTGTTACTGTTCTTCGATTTTCTGTTAGAGATTTTTAGATTTAATAGGGAAGCTGTGAGGTCAAATATACTGTTTAGGTTTTATACTGCCAAGTTTACAACTTCACTATTACAGTGGAACGTTTTGTCCAGGAAGTTGAATTTGTTGTTGCCTAATTGTTTTTTGGTAGGTTTCAACACTACTTTCTTTCCATCTATAGCATTTCTTAATATTATTCAGTTCCTTTGGCTTTGATGCCTCATGATTTGAGTATTGCTCTGTTCAAGTAGACTGTGATTTTGCTGTGGTCTGATAGGGGTGTCAGTGGGCTGACTGTGAACGCTCTGAGAGACTCTGGGTTGAGGTCAG